GATTAGAAATAAAGTTACAAAGATATTTTTTTCCTAATTATTACAAACTATATTACTTAAGCTTTTTACTTGTTAAAAAAATGTTGGGTGGCAATTTATAAACATTAAAAAATCGTACATCGCTAAATATTATGTAAATACATCTTTGAAAAATAATAGTAAATGATAGATTATTGATAGGATAGGTCTAATCGAAAAATTTAAAAGGAGAAACAAATTTTTAATAAAATATTTTTAGAAGACAGTGTTGAGTAATGTATGAACGCGAAATAAGAAAACTTTAAACGTGTAGCAGAGTGGCGCAGTGGAAGCGTGCTGGGCCCATAACCCAGAGGTCCGTGGATCGAAACCACGCTCTGCTAGTAACTTTTTTTTTCTAAAATTTTATTAATTTCAGTTATGGAATCCGCTTTCAAGGCCCATTTAAACCTTTTTCCCTACAAAAAAGATCATTTCATAATCCTTTTAAATATATTTAATTACCATTTAATACACATGATAATATTTTTATAATTATGCACTGCTAGTAATTATATTTAAAAGATTAATTACGTTTTTAATTTGACCAACTCGATGCTCGAACTTATGTATTTTCGTTTTTACAATGTAGTGTATAATCCTTCGCAAATTGAAGGATAGTGCTATATTTTAAATATTCTTAATTAAAGAGACAAGTTATAGAGAAATTATTAAATTCAAACGTGTTGACTTAACTTTACCTTTAATAAAAACAAAATAAAGTATATAAAAAATAAATAAATGAATAAACTATATTGATTAATTGATATTGCAATGTTTGAAATTGTAAATGTTGTACATATCTATAAATTAAACTAAAAACAAAATTGCTTCAACATACCAAATTGTATTTTAAAACAGTATTTAACCAACTTCAATTAATAACTACATATTTACTGAAAATAATAAAATATATTTTATGTAATGTAAGTTCTGAAATGTGTTAATACCAATGAATTATTTGTATTATATTATTTGGCGAAATTCAGTCAGTACTATATGTAAATTTAAAGAAAAGAAAATTGTTTGCGATGTTTGAAGTTTAAAAAAATGTGTACCGAATAAATTAAAAACAATGTAAGAAAAAAAATTGTAACCAATACACGTCTAAATTGTTAAAATTTATATTAACTCTTTTCACTTCTTATTTTATAATTCAATCATCACCGATCATCCTGCTGTCTGACTATTCTCCCTGAGTTGGTCTGCCAGTCTTCAATGTTGTCAGCGTTGTCTTTGCGAATTTTGCCGAGGTCGCGGTCTGTCTTTGTGATTTTCAGTCCTTTTTCGGCATATTGGTTCAAGGATGAAAATTATTTAGGGTGAACTGTTGTTAATTTAATTTCACTGGTAAATGTGTATTGTTTGTACATGTGTACAAGTGTGAGTTGTCATCTTTATCTGTTGTTGGTTTTGCTAGATTGAGTCTAATTTGTTTTTAATTGCGTAACTATGTAGAAATTATTGTAAAGTGAATTGTTCCCGCATCCGCGACACCCAATAGGCAGTTGAACTTTAAGCCTTCCTATTGGAAGTAAATTACTTTACTATAAAGATTGTCCTTGGACGGTTCTGATTTACGTTGTGTAGTTTGATTTTTCTGTCTTAATACCCAAATGATCCTATACGTTCTTTATATGTTCGATGTATTTTTCTCCGTATTAACATGGCGTATATACCATTTTTATTAAGTAGGTTGGTTGTTGAAAATTCGTTTCGAAAATTTTTCGATTTTCTACGTGGACCACTGTGCTGTTTTGATTCCTATAAATAGATTTCTTGGTTTGTACATTTCTTTCCCTAAACAGGGTGTTCTTTTTAGATGGCCCGGCTGAATTTTGTCTTGAACTAATGACGCTATCAAAATACGTGTAAATATCTTTTGGTCTAGATTTTGAAACTTTATCTTTCTTTGGAGAAAAATTATACATGGTACCTCCGGTCGAGTTCAACTTCAAAATTTCAAATAGCACCCTAACATCCTGAGAAATCATTTTTAAGGATTTGTTATGCTGAAAATTAATGGTGCATCGGATTTTAAATTGGTCAAAAAATTACAGTTATGGCAAAAAAAAAAAAAAAACCGTCCGCGTAATTTCGACGAGGACTGAAGCTGAAGTTCGGCTAAGTCTTGGGGGACTCAAAGCCCCTTAAAAAAGGGCCTTTTTCTTTAAACAGGCCGAGGGTCGTTGGCCAAGTATGACGGAGGAGCTTTAAAGGTTTCCCCTCGGGTCATCGTTGGCGGTAACGGTTTAAGCATTGACGCACCGCTCATCACTATAAGATAAAGGTACCCGGTCCGACATCCTTACAAATGTGCTTTTGTACAAAAACATCCGCACCCCGAGGGTTCAAATAATCTCGTAATTGAGAAATACTCTCAAAAAATGAGATTCTCTGAAACTTACAGAGGTGACAGTTGAAGTCTGTTATCACTGTTATCAACTCCGCAGTCGGGAACCAGTGGTCTATTGGCTGTTAACACACTAAATACACAGACTAGGTCAAAATGAGTACACTATTATAATTATATTACATTTTATCTGTACTGTTGTTTATACTTTCCTGTTTGAGCTTACACTCTTGTAATGGCTTTATGTCCATACGATAAACTAGCCTAAACAACTGAAACACCCACAAAGAGACAGAAAGTTAGAAATGCTGGTATAAATGAGGAGGAGGAGAAAGAGAGAGAGAAGGGTAGATGATTGTGCACTAAAGCATGGTTAACAAACAAATATGATGGTTCCTTTGTGTTAGAGATCACTAACCATCCCTAACCATTGCGTTTTCTAAACAATTGTCAGTAGTTTATCGTAGCTGATTGTTAACTAGGTAATTAGAGTAATACTAACCGTTTTTAAAACAAACCTATATAAAGTAAAGCTAAAAGTAAAGCTTTCATATGATTACAATCTCTACTTTGGTGAATGCAACGTTTATAATATCGTATTTACGGGTGAAACGCCGAAAAATTCGGGCGTACTGCCAATAAAGTATCCTTTACCGGGCACAAAGGTCAAAAAATGCTGGTATGAACCTTCGTGCGGTTTTTGTTTTATTTTAGAGGGGCTATAAAATAAAGGCGTCATTAAATTTCCATTTTAAGTTTATGCCCCATAGTCGGCCCAATTTGAACAACTGGAGTATAATAAAAGCGGTAGAACATTTATTGACGTCAGTTATGAAATGGCCTTGGTCCACCTAAATGGGTCAACCTTTACAAAAAGGCGATTCCGAAAGCGATTTTTACTTCCATCTGTGCTCAAGGACGTCCTGTTAATGATTTATGTTCCGTTACTAGAGAACGTTTGCCTGTGATTGATGACTTTTTTTGACATGTCTGAGTTTTTCAAGCCAAATTTCCAATTTCTCCTCTATTTCCGGTTCGTATTGGAATCCTTCGATCGGATTAAATAGAATGATAATAAAAATCAAAAATGTTAGGCTCAGAAAAGATTCTAATGCGTTAATATGTATTTCCACACAAATATGTCGGGTTTTTTACTCACGTGGCACGGAAATCGTGAACCCTAAATCAATGCTTGATATAATATTGTAAAACCGAGGATAGAATCGAACGCGTGTTCTTAGTAATAAATTACCGGCTAACTTTCAGGGAGGAACGACACAAGAATATCTATTATATAAAGTTTGGAATTGGTGATAGTCAAGGAATCAACGATGTGGTTATACTGTTTAAAAGTGACACTATAGAATAAATCCTTGCCATCTAAAATCGTTTAAGCCCCCATCGCGTAGTAAACTTTACCGAACCACTAAACTACCGCAAAGTAAACAAAGATTATTTCACTTAATCTTATGACAAAGTTTTAAATTTCAAATCTACATATGTTAGATTTCTAGAGATAATAAAAAAAAAGTAATTGCTGTTATAAAGGAGGGAATAAATTCAACGAACTCGTTGGGTGGCTAGCCATTCCTAATCGTCCTAGGACTCAGGCCAATAATTCTTTATTACTGTCAGGAGCGCTTAGGGGAAACTTCTTAAATTAATTTTTTGATATCATTTCCAGGGAACACAACAGCAGAGGTCGTAGCTACCCCCGGACGTACCGTTGTTAAAAAAGCCATAATGTAAGTATATTAGTACATCCGCAGGATTCGAACCAGGGATGTCGTTATAGCGTTTTTCATGGACTGCGAGGTATGAACCTATAATTTAGTCGTTAGCAATCATTTCGTTCTATCATCGCAGTTTTAATGTCCAAAACGCGTTTAATCATTTCGCCATGTTGAGTAATGGGTTTCTCTGTTATTTTGGCGAGGTCAAAGGTTGTTGATGTTTTGCATTCCTTTTCCTGGGCAAAATAAACAAAAACATGTAGACAAGTTTCATGATATGAATAAAATAAGAACAGCATAAAAAAGCCAAATGTTATTCTTTATTTAACCAAACACAGGGACATAACCAGCCCAGGAGACTGGCTGTATTCTGCATAACCGTATTCGCTCGTTTAATACTTGGGCTACGAATATAGTTAATAAGAGATGTGCCTTAAACGTAAGGAAGACAATTAATAAATAATTAATTATAAATTCATTAGATTGCTCTTCCTACTTGATTATCGGTTTAACAAAACTCAGATTCATTCAAGGGAGTCTTTTTTTTATTATAACTGTACTCAAAGAAATTTGACGTGGTAGAACTCTTAATAACTTAACTCTAATGGAGAGATTTTGGATTATGGTTGAGGCATAAATACAGTAATATAAAGTAAATATATGAACGAATGAAAAACTGTAATATTTATAACTATTCAGAAATCGTGAGATGCGGTCTGGTGTAATGTTGATTTAAAAAAAACATTTTCTTTGTCGTGCAAATATTTCGATCTTTATTGAGATCATCTTCAGGGCCTGGGATTTACAAACATTGTTTACATTTAACAAATACATGTAGGATGTGGAAAAGTGAATTTATACTGCAAAATATATTTAATCAAAGTATTTCTACTCACTCAAAGTGTTTGTCTTCTGTGTAATTGTGCCATTCTTGCGTGTCGTGTTGAGAGTGCCAGTGCGACATTGCTGTTTTATGTTTATATACGTTGGATTTCGAAGGGGTGGGGAAGGAAGTCGGGATAGAAAAGACATTTTTGTATAAGGCATCGGCTTCTTTGAGATGAAAAGAGCCGACGAAGGGAAAAAACGTTGATTATAGTTCGGCCAGATTATCTTTTCAGGATTATATAGAAAGGGGTAAATAGGAAAAGGAAAGCTAAATTGTTGGAAAATTAGACTATGTGAAAAATATTTGATGTGTGGAATGTGATATGATGATATATGTATGTTATCTATATTGAATTTGATTAATGATATTGGCGTGGCTGCGACTGAGTTTACATGTATCTGTTCTGTAATTGATGCTGTGCTTATCTCTGTTGATATAAACCATTTCTAAAAAATTACGTTTATGTTTACATATCCGTTAACACAGCAGAGTCGGATCATGGTTACGAACGTGTCCTTCGATAGAGTTGTGTGTGGTGTTATGTTGGGCAATTTATCTTTAATAAAGATAGCTCAAGTGGTAAAGCAGCGGCGTATTTAGTGGAAGGTCGTGGGTTCGAATTCCGCTCGTGACACTGACGTTACATCTCAACCAAGACTTTACATAAAAATAATATATATATTATTACAATAATACAATTAAAAATGAAATTCTTTTGTCAGCTCGTATCTGTATTCCATGCCTGCTACACGAACCCAATCAAAGGCCTAAATCTGGAACCCTCCAAAAAACCCAAAGGTTCACCCAGAATTGAACACTGCTAAGAATTGAAAAACAGATTCGAAGGCATGCAAATTGCAAAGCCCTGATCCCGCTATTCCACACGGCCGAGTTCAGCTGAAGAACCTCGCAGCGCATTTTAAAAAGCCAAAACAGCTCTACCAAAGAATAACCGTTAAAATTGGGCTTCTTCAGATCAAAAAACTCTGGAGGACCCCTTAACTCTTTATGTAATAAAAGGTGCACCGAGCTCATGGCACGATCAGCACATTCACAGCGATGCTGGGAATTAATCCGTGTCAAGAGAACCGAAAATTGGGTTCTCCAGTTAGTGATATTTTCCAATGAGAGGGTGAAGCCAACAACGTATTTCGCAAACAGTGATTTCCAGGCAGAGAACCAAGAAATCGTTGGTCGAACTATTTCAAGTGAGGTAATTTTTGGGAAACTCCAGTCTGGAGAACTTAAGAGTTTTCAAGACAAAGCAAAAGTGCAGATTGAGAGTGAACACAAAGTAGACCGGTGGCAGTTTCTAAATAGATGACGTAATTTGGTGCGCCCACTGGAGGAGAAAAAAGTTTTATTATGAAAAATCGTTGGGCCTTTTTCACAGCTCCGAATCTCTGAAAGCCCCGCATCTGACACCCTTAGCAAAGAATCGCTCGAAACACAGAGTTAAAAATATTAAACTTTACATTGATCGGAATTGTGTTATGGGTCATAATAAACGGTTTGTACATTGTTTGTTGTTCAGGAAGGGTGGCAAATTAAGTATAGTAAGTGTACTATTTGATAGGGGACATGAACCATAATGAATATGTCAACCACAAATTGGGAAAAGGTTGTATCAGAAAGGCATGGAATATCGGAAGTGCAAATTAATTCGATTAATACGATTATTAAATTATTTATTAAATCTAGTAATGAGACTGTCTATTAATTTTACAATGGCTAATTTACTAATAAATACACTTTAGTGTTTTTATTATCATATATATATATATATATATAT